CATAAAAGAGAAACAAAGAAGAATTAAAGTTTAAAATTTTTTTAATAAACAGAGACCAGCGAGTTTATTTTATTAATGAGTTCCCCTTTGATGTCACTTCCTGTTTCACTTTGGCTGAGCCAAATTCAAAATAAAATAGGCCAGTTATGTGACAAAATGGGTAAAATCATGTGTACTATGCCAGTTTTCTTAAGTATAAAGAAGTTTTCTTTGACTTTTTGTATTTGAAGGAAAGGCATGTCACAGTACTATAAAGAACAGCTTTGCTGCTCTTCAGAACTAATGCTACTTATAGCTCACAGTTTTTTTCACTGCTTTTGCTGCTTTTCCTGAAACAAACTAACACTGTCTTAATATGCTGTTCTTAATTTTTGATTTTATTGTTTAACATTTTCTGTTTTTCTACAGTGCCACTGAACAGCTGGCCACCAGGGCTGCAGATGAAAACTAGCCTCTGGCTAATTCTGGCATGTTACAGATGTACCGTTATTAATATGCACTGTCCTGCTAAATAAATAATTTACAAATAAATAAATTACAAATAAAGGATTTGCTCAAGGGCCCACAGTAGGTCAAATACAGTTTGAGGCAGATGTGGTTGCTACTTTTTCCAACTAAACTTCATTTTTTTTACCTCCTGATCATACCTTCTCTAACCTTGTTGCCACCAGTCCAACTTTATTACACTTTAGTTTAATTTAGTCAGGCTATTTCAGTTGTTGTCTACATATTTATGCATGAATGTAACTGTACGTACCTGCCTCTGCTGATTTGATCTCATTAAAGGACCCCAAACAAATAAAATGACCAGTGGTTTGCTGATATGATTGKAGAATGTTTTACAATTTTTGTTATATCTGCCTTTATGAAAAAAATATTCTATCAGCCTCACCTGCATCATCCATCTGCTGCGTCATGCGCTCTGCTGCAGCCAGTCAGCATCAGACAAGTCTCACATTTAAGACCCTCCACCCATGGCTCCATCTGCTCACCACCTGAGCTTCAACCCACCTCCTCCCCTTCTCCACCCYCGTTCCCTCGGCTCCTCCAGGTTTCTTTCTTCGGCCTCCACCACCAGTGTCTGGCCCCCCCGGACGGAATACAGTTCCTATTCCTCATCTTAAGCAGCTCATCCAAATTCATTGCAGCTCACAGCACCATGTTGGGGTCCGAGTGCCAAAACTTTATTTTCGAATTGTTGAATTAAACTTTCTAATTTTAGCTTCTCTCTGTGTGAGTCTCTCCAGGTTGAATTGATGTTTGCATATTAAAATCACCTAAACAAGCCAATCTGAGCAAAAAAAAAGTCTGTAAAACTCAGTTTTACTTTTTTTAGGGAGATCAGCTTGGCTTGGAAGTAAGAAAAGGAGACTTTGTGGAAAAAAGCTTGGGAACTACTGAATCAAAAGACCTGAAAGACCAAGATTGAGACATGATAAAGTACTTTTTATGACACTGCATTTTTATTTTCACAATAAATGTTGAACACTGGGGGATCCACTGGGGGAAACCAACCCCCAACTGACATACAGCCTGTCTTCTCTCTATGCTGAACGTACTCTTCACTACACAATATGCAAAAGTTAGAAATCATCTGGAATGAACATGTTCAATAAATTATTTTCATATGTTTAACCTTGGAGATATTTTCCTTTTAGAAACTGAAACCCAGAAAAGGTTTTTTTTTTTTTACATACAATTACCTTGAGTACGTTGAAAGTTGAGTAAAGCAAGTCAAAAGCAAAACAGGCAGGCTGAGGCGACTGAAATATTCCAGCATTTACCGTGATGAAAGTGAGATTTGACCACGGTAAACAAGTTTGATAAATTTCCATCCTACACAAGCCATCAAGAGAAGTGCAGCGTGTGTTCAGCTGTCTGATCTCAAAGCTTAATGGAAACATGCCAGACAGTTAAATGTGTGGGTGGACGATAAAGAGGGGAGGCAGGAAATAAAGGTGGTTACACAGAGAAAGATACGTGCTGAAAAAATCATTTTTGCTTTTATTTCTTCAGTAATAATTTATTATATATTAACACTCTTTTGTAACTTTTTTGGCATAATGTATACAATAACATTATTGTCCAAGTTTAGGGAGAACTGGGTTACATGCAAACATTATTAACAACATTATTCTAATAATCTTAACTAAAATAAAAGGTCAGAAATTTATATTTTAATTAAACGATATTGAGCTAATATTTTAAAGCATGAGAAAGCTGAAAATGAACTTTTCAAACAAAACATTATGAAAATTAAACCAAATTTGTCATTTGTACAGTGAGATTGACTCCACTATGTTCCAACAGAAAACATTACACAGGTATAAGTATTTATTTCTATACTGAACAATGTGTACAGGACAGAAATTTTAAACTAAAAGTACTGCACTGATAATTAAAATAACAACAAGAGCAAACCAACAGAAATAAAAGTTGGAAAAAGTAATATTTTATCCTCTCTGATAAAAAAAAAATGAACTCTTTACTTTGGACAAGAATGACTTCCTGCATTGTTTTATTATTATGACTAAATTGTGCAAAGTGTGTAAGAGCTACGGGAGATTCTCCAGCTCATCGGCAGCWTTTCTTTTATCAATTCCAGAATTTTTATTTCTCGATTTTTCATACAGCTGCTTCAACAGATTTAGTAGCTGTAACAAAAATTGTTTACTCCAAGACAGATTTCTTTAAAAAGATGTTTCTTTCAAAGCTACAAAATTTCATAAAATTATACCGGCTTTTTTTTTTTCCAAAATAGGGAACAGTTATGTTTGTTTATGTGCATTGTGCTAAAAACATGGATTGTTAAGTTCTGAAATTTAACMTAATGCCTTCTTTTTTACCAGTTTCTACCAGTGGATTTTATTAACTCTGGACCCCTCATAATAACAAAACAAATCCCATCATGTTTGCTCATGTTTTGTGTCAATGTTGTAGCAACGAGTAGAGATTGATTTTTTTGGTAACATTTTACAATAAGGTCCAAAAATATTTATTAATTACTGAGGAACTACTCAGTAACTACTGAATATTTACTAMGTAGTTACTGAGGACACCAAAGCAAAGAGGAACAACTGAGTACTTAGAAACAAAGTACTTAGTAACWACTCAGTTATTACTGTTACTACTCAGTAGTTACTGGGTAGTTCCTTTTTGGTATCATCACTAACTACTTGGTTTCTACTAAGTAACTATTTAGTAGTTACTAATTCATTTCTAAGTATTCAGTAGTTACTGAGTTATTCCTCAGTAGTTGTTATTTTTGTGTACCATATTATAAATTGTTACAATTTTTTTCTCGCTTTTTCAAGATTGAGTATGTACACTTTTAAAATGTCTTGTGAATTACACTCTGTAGTTTGCAGCAAGTATTTTACCATCTTGTGTGGTCTGGGCCCTATTATGGTTTAGAGTGATCAGTTGCCTTTACTGGAAGGACTGGTTGTGTTGCACATGAGGCATATTCAGTTATTTGGGAGAATTAAATTATAGGTAAGAAGGGACAGCTGCAAATGTCAGCTACAGATACAGAAAAACTGCCAAAACAACCAAAAATTATTATTTTACAAATGACATGCTGCTTTGATTTAATAATGAACTGATCCATATGTCTTGTCCTTATGCTGTTTTAATATACTCTTACTCCTTAAATTCACATGTAAACAACTCATTTTAAATTAGATCATAATTACAGCAGAATATTCAGACTGTAAGATTTCAGTCCAATAAAAACAGATGACTATTTTTGCCTCGTTCTCGTTGCCAAAGTAATAAAAAATGAAGGATTCTTGCTATCCTGCCCTCTGTGTGTGTCTAACTGAACTAACAGATGAACCTGTGTATTTGTTTCCACAAAATGACATCACTTTCTTGGCTTGGATATGTGCGCATTTTGGATGCAAACAATTCAAACAACTACATTCTCTGTCTTCTTTGGGGCTTTATTTTTGTATTTATCTTCTGGCGTGACAGGCTTCTTTTTAGAGCTTATATGARGCACCGTCTGTTTTCTCCACAGTCACCAGACCTTCAGCTTTCTGAACATCAGACAGAATACATAAAAATGATAAAAGGCAGATGTTTGATATCATCAAGACGCTAAAAAAAGGACTTTCACAGGATGATGCCAGGAAACGTTAGCAAGAGTTCACAAAATAGTTTGTGATCAACAAAAGTCCTTTAATGGCTGGAAATGATTAAAACATAACTTAATATTTGATTTAGAATAAAAAAACATGATTTTGTTTTCATCAAAGATAAAAAATGTRTCATGTTGTTGAATAATTTGAAAGATATCACTCTCCGGAAAGAAGAGAAACACATTTCTCCATGATATTTTTCCACWTAAACCTTTACATCTCTGGTTAGAAAGTGCAGAAAGATATAAATGAAGGTCCACACATAAAATAAAAAAAAAATTAACTTTCCACCTCTGGTCTTTCTGAAGATACAGCAGCTACACTGTATTTGTGGTTTGGTTTGATCCAGAAGCCGATCCTTTCTTAACCCCGGGTGACGAAACCTGTCTCTTTTCCTTTACTATGTAAATTCAGGTAAAGTCATTGAGTAAATAGAAAGGCTGTGATTCTGTGTTTATGTTATCTTCACCCATAAATTCTGTCACAAATATCACCTCAACAGCCTGCCTTCATCACAGTGAACACTGCTGGCAGCAGGTCAAGCGGTGAATTTAAATCACTCTGCTTTCAAACACGACACTGACTTTCGTTTCARCATATTTGTCCTGCTTTTAGTCAAAAAAAATGATGACTTCCAAGACAACATAAAAGACAAAAGTGGAGACATAATTGTTCCATGCTGAAGTGGAATCATTTTTAGGTTGAATTTAGTTCAGATGTATACTTCTTCTAAATAAAAACCATGAAACTAAAACATGTTTTTGTTCTGTTTTTTTTTTCTTCTAAACTTGTGCAAAAGTTCAGTGGTTTGCTTTTGATTAAAAAGTTTCTCTTTTCATTTCCATTGTACATCTCCAGATGGGAAATGCCTCTGAAATATTCCTGTTCGTGTCCAGAATATCGAAAAACAATGACTTCGTTATGGGAACTCTCTACACCATTTTTGGTAAGTGAACTTGTTTCCATCTTTTAAATCTGTGATGTTCAATCCACCCCCTGGTTTCTCCRCTGCCCCTCTGTCTTTCAGGTGTGCTGTCTGTGCTGGGAAACGGGATCCTGCTGTTTGTGGCTTATAGAAAAAAGTCCTCCCTGAAACCAGCAGAACTCTTTGTTGTGAATCTGGCCATCAGTGACCTGAGCATGACGATAACTCTGTTTCCACTGGCCATTCCTTCAGCCTTTGCTCACAAGTAAGTGACTTTTGACACTTTATCTTTGTCCATGTAACTTTTTAATCCTAAAACCATTAAAGATTTAGTCAAAAAAACAAAATAAAACAATCACCTGGTAATTATTCTTGAGGTGAGTAAAAGTTAAATTCAGGCTACAGATGAAACTTTTGACACTAAGGCACGCATTTTCCTGTTTGATAAGGGGGTCTCTGCAGTCACTAAGTGGGAGGTTTTTGCTGTGTGGGAGGAGTAAGACCTGACTGGTCAGATTAGGTGGGGTTTGAAGAAGCCATAACAACATTTGGTTGGTTGAATGCCCAGCATTTCAGAAGATGTGTAAATTTGGACAAAACGGCCAGAAAGCACCTGTATTTTAAGATATAAATTTTCCTTATAGTCATAACTCGAGAAGATGCTAGCCACATGAAATTTGAACACCATACATGTGGAGAGATGTGTAACAATTTACGGACATTACTTTATCTTTTACCTTTCACGACAAGACAATCAGCCCAATAATGGTTTTGCCAAACTCCGCCCACACAGCTAAGAAACTCCTCCTATGTACTGCAGAGACCCCTACTTGGCCAGTTTAGATAGTTCAATGATTTTAGGAAAAGAACCAGAGTACAGAAAAAAAGAAAAACTATTTAGAGCAAAAGACAAAATGTGGCTAAAGAGATTAATCCCGCAGAATAACATTTGTTTTAGCAGTCAAACTTTTCAGAAACACATGTGTACAAATATTTGCAACATTCACTGTAGACTTATGAGTTTACTCAACAGTCTACTTAATATTAAACTTGTACAGATGACCAACCAGGTAACTCTTGCAGAAATGAAAGAATAAGGTGGGTCATGCTTTTATATTATTATAGCATAACCCATCAAAATAGCATTATAAACAACATTTTTCAGTGACATCAGAACAGATGTTTACTCAGTACTTTTTAGAATGAAAAATATTTCATCATTATTTGATCATATGTGCACTGTATCTTTGACATTAAAACAGATGATATGAAGTGGTAATGATCAAATCCACGGTCTAAGAGGCTGTTAAGTATATGTGGGAAAACTTTGCTATGATGGGCACAAACACAGACACAAAAGTACCAGCTTTTAATTATTTGATTTAATGATTTATTCCAGACATGTGAAATCATTGAATCTATATAACTCAATATACCCTTTCCCATACAGCAAGATGTATGCATACTCAAAATGTTGGGAGACAAGTTGTCTTTGTTGCTTGCATGTGTCCTGCTTCAGCGTGACCTTCTCTGTTATCCTCTGATCCCCTGAGGATATGTGGATGCAAGCTGTCATACATGCCAGTGTTGGGTCAAAGTGTGTCACTGCTGGATGTGACCCATGGGGGAGGGCCAGAAAATGCTTTACCTGTCTATTCTCCCTGAATTTAAAATTTCCCTGAAGAACATAACTCTTCGCAGAACATGATGTCAATCAGTGATTGATAGTCTCTTTCTTTTCTCTCTCCATTTAGGTGGTTGTTTAACATGACCGCCTGCACTGTTTATGCCTTCTGTGGTGTTTTATTCGGCCTGTGCAGTCTGACCAACCTCACGGTGCTTTCCTGTGTCTGCTGGCTCAAGGTCTGCTGTCCGAACTACGGTAACCCAAGTTCTTTAGATGCTTCTTCATTATGTAATAACCATCATTATCACAGTAAAAGGATTTCTCTTTTGCACAATAAAAAAAAATCTTGTGTGGTCCTAATACTCTGTTGTAGATAGTGGAGCTAAACCCAAAYTTTTAATGTTTTCTTTATTTATTTATGTGTAAGGTTTTAACTGTGAATGTCCCGATGCATCTCAGTAATCCAGGCAGAAAAAAATCAAAAAGAAAAAAATAAGTAGGTCCTCTAGATGGGTTCGTCTTTATTGAAACGTTTCGTCTCTCCTCTTCGTGTCCAGTTGTCCTCCTCCTACAATGCTTTTATTGCAAGTATGACTCAGCCCCCTGTGAGCAAAAGGTGTGAATCAGGGCGCCAATGATACCCAACACAAAGAGGGAAAGAGGGACAAAAAACAAGGGGACATGGAGCCCCGCTTGCATTCACTACATACACATAACACAACTTGGGTCAGGTGATGGCGCACATGGCCGTCTATGAACACTAGAGCTAATCAAGCCTATTGTTAGGCGATGGCCCTCTTTTGCATGTGACTAAATAGAGCTAATCAAGCCTATTGTTAGGCGATGGCCCTCTTTTGCATGTGACTAACCTGTTTGTCCATGTGGAGGCAATGCTTTTAAGGCTGAGTTCACCTGAAWTTCATCAGACTGAAGAAGTCTCTTGGAGGAGAAACGAAATGTTTCACTAAAGAAGAACCCATCCAGAGGACCTACTTTTCTTTTCTTTTTGATTTTAACTGTGAAGTTGTTCTTTTAATAAAAAGACGTGTAAAWACTTGTCCCGACGCATTTTAAGTCCAACATGAAACTGATCACTATGGTAATGGGGGAGCGCGTGGTCACGCAAACCCATGTGAAGCCGACGTCAGACGAAGGGTAGACCGTCTCATTTCGCAGCAGTTTTGAGCAGCCTACCTGGCCCAGGGAGGATATGGCCCACGTGGCCCAGCTAGACTAGGTCCTCATGAGGACCCAGCCCATGAAATGAGACACAGCCAAAGAGTTTATTTTCTATTCAAACATAAAAAAGGCATTTTAATAACAACTAAAGGTGACATTGATACTTTATTATGGTAGGGAACTTAAATATACAGTATGCCTGAGAAACACAAAATATTGCGCCTTTAAGGATGCCCCGATGGCTCTAAAGATAATCTTACGCAATATTCCTGACATGTGTAATCTAGTCAGCTCGGAAGAACATCAAGTCCACTCCAATCTCAAATCAAATATTTAAAACATGTTGGCCTGATATCCCAGGGTGTGTGGTGTCCCCCAAGGGATGAGCTTGCAGCCTGTTAAATGTGACGCGTAGCCAATCAGAAAATGAGGTGATGGAAACATGGAGGACAATTCAAAATACAGAAGACAAAACAACTGCCGTGGTGCACCAGAAATGTTAGTGGAAATCGGAAACATTTGTTTAATTAGTCCACAAACTACTGCCATTGCTTGATTTACTCTGAAGTCAAGTTTGATCTCAAGAGGTTTTGCAGGACTTCCCGTCTGACATCTGAATGTTCGTGAGTGAAATCTGTTTGTGTGGTGTGTTATCGTTGCAGTGTGGATGTACACCACACACTGTAGGAACCAAACATATTCTATGATTTTTTTATCATCATCAAGTTTTGAAAAGCAAGACTTAGAAAGCAGTATCTCTCTGCAAGAAGAGCTGTTTCAGCTGCCAGGACACCTTTATAAAAATCAATCAAGCACACAACACCACATTTCTCTTATTTAGCTGCAAAAGTAAATCTTAGAAGCTAATCCAAAAAACAAATTAATGAATGAAAATAAAATAAAATTGAGAGTGTTTTGCATTTCTTTTCACCAAAAAAAGCATTTTCATGTTCATCTTCTCAAGCAAACTGGCCGTTAAACCTATACTTTTTCTCTTTTAAAGTTGCCATATGATAAATAACCAAGTGCAAATCCACCCTAGGGTGTCTGGCAGAAGATTTTACCCTTGACTTGTGCTCTGCAGGAAAACACTCTCTACTCCAGGAATCAGCATCACGAAGGGAAGAACATTCCCACTCATCGTCAAACACGCACACGCACACACACACCCACACACACACACACNTCTAAAGATAATCTTACGCAATATTCCTGACATGTGTAATCTAGTCAGCTCGGAAGAACATCAAGTCCACTCCAATCTCAAATCAAATATTTAAACTTTCAAGGCTGAAGTTTTTCTATATATATTTTTTAATTAATAKATGGAGCATAAACAAATTCCTATATACCATTTCAAATACCTGATGTTTTAACGTTTCTCTTATACAAATATCTGAAAACAAACACTCGAGAATTGCACTTTACCTCACAGAAATATTTGACATGGCTTTTCTTTTTTTCTCTAGTTATTGCTTTGGTTAAGTTAGGCAACAAACCCCAGGTTAAAAAAACAAGTTGTGACATTCTTATCTCAATATACAGTATGTTGTTCAAAAGTCATGTCTATTTTTATTTCATATATTTCTGACTAGGTCCTGCTAGTAAATATGTAAAATAGAAATAACAAAATCATAAAATATCTATTGATTAATGTCACTTTTGCAACTTGAACTATCTTAAAAGAGTATTTTGCAGAACAGACCTTTTTTTTAGCTTTATATCAGGGGTGCCCAAACATTTTCCCTGAGAGGGCCAAAATGAAAATCTATCCAGGGCTGTGGGCCAAATGCAGTAATATAATACATGAAATATGAATACTTTTAAAGTAAAGTCCTTTATTTTTAGCGATTATGCTATGCAATGGCCCTCTTTTGTTTAAGTCTGTGCGCTTGGATAAAGTCTGCCATAGCAAAGGCTCATGGGGCATATCATAAATTGATAAGAGTTTTAGTGGCCTTATAAAGTGTGCAAATCTACACGTGGGGTTAAGTCTGATCTAAATATTTATTGTTGTCATTTCATGTTTAATCCTAATAAATCAAAGCTAAAGTCAACAGCATGAATGAAAACTACCTTCACTACAGCCCTTTTATATAGTCATTTGACCAATGGAAATACTGTGTTTCTACATAGAATAACAGGTTACAACCTTTTAACTTTGGCAACTGTTGGTGGGCCGAATCAAATGGCTTGGCGGGCCAAATTTGGCCCGCGGGCCCCACTTTGGGCTCCTCTGCTTTATATCATGACATAATGAAATTTATTCATCAAAAAACATACCCAGAGTTTTGCTTTGACTCACTAATATATGTCTGAGAAATCCTTATATCTCCTGTGGTAGCCATGTGGAGCTGCCTTAACAGTTGCTGGTACAAAGCACCGCCTATCTACACAAAGATCCTCCCTAGAGTTCAGTCCCCAGCAGAGCTCTTGCCCCGCAGAGTACCCCTTCCCCAAAGCATTGTGAAGATGTGCTGAAGTGGGAGTTTCAGAAACAGTAGGAGGTTCTTAAAGAGATAGAGGCCAATTTCAAGGCTGAACTATGTGCCTGCACACCTATCTTTAAGATTTGTTAACCGTATGCCTTCAAAGTCCTTGACCTTGTGATACCTAGTGTGAAACTGCTTCAATAAGTGTTTTTGTTAGAGTTGCATTTCCCTTCAATTGCAACTACAATATACTGTATATACATTACTCCATTTAAATGTACTGAAGCTGACATCAGGAGAGGAAAAACACAGATTGATGCATGTTGAGTTAAAGCACTTTTTCATGAGCTTTTCTATAAAGTAGAGTTCAGTTCTTAGAAAGAACAAAGGAGAAGTTCTAAGTGTGTCACCCTGATGGTTGAATTCTCTGTTTTGTGAAGGCATGTTCCACATTAGATAAAAAYCTTCTGCAATGGCTACCTTTCTGAGACCTGCACAGCTCAGCCAGTGCATTTGTAATCACCCCCATCCCAAATCCCCATCCTCAGCTTGAAGTGTAAGAGGAGCTGACATCCTGCTGTGGAGGCTGTGTGGTGCTAGATAAGACTGTCTGGGTTCTCCTCCTCACTGAAGACAACTGTGCCTGAATCGATTGTAGCAGAACGTGGTGAGAGCTGTTTTAGTGTTTAAACGTGTTCTTGTATTCACACTTTGGTACAGTCGCAAACAAAAGATGTACAACTTGTTACACTATACCATCAGAAGCATTGTCTCATGAAACAACTCTGTTCAATGGTTAAATATTTTCTAAGCGAGAGAATGTTAAGACCTGAGTCCCTGAGTCATCCGTTTAAAAAAATTATCTAACAGAAAATGTACTCAATTTGAAAAACATTTCTATGCTTCTGAATCTCAAGAACATCAATCAGTGTTCATTATTATTGTGTTGAGATGTTCAGATCAAGGTCAAGTTTCTTGACCAAGAGCTGCCATGGTATGAATAGAATGTAAGCTGAATGAAGACCATGGTTACTAGGAAAGTGAATTTGAAAAACATTTAAAAGAAACATATTATATAAACATATTCGTATGTGTCCTTGTTTGCCCATGCAGTCTTTGAAATGATCCTGAAAATGCTTTGTTTTATTTATTTTTTTAAATGATCTTGGTGTTTGTTCACTAGTGAGGGAAGAATGGATCACAAAACTTAAAGATGGATTGGCACAGCGTCTCTTGTATTGCAGACTCTGTACCAGTCTGTTGTGGTGAAGAGGGAGCTGAACTGTAAGGCAAAACTCTCTGTTTACTGATCGGTATACGTTCCTCACCTTCGGTCATGAACTTTGCAGTGACCAAAAGAACGAGATTGCAGATACAAGCGGTCAAAATGAGTTTTTTCTGCAGGTTATCTAGCCAGTGTTCCCAAAGTTGGGGTCGGGATCCAAAGTGGGGTCCTGAAACATCATGGTGGGGTCATGAAAAGATTTTCTAAATTAACTACATTTTTGCCTTAGTTGCCTAAAATGTATAAATGTAGAATAATAAATATTGCTACTATGCCCACGTTTAGTTGACCTGATAAAAATGTTTATCATCCAAAAATAGTTGTTGGCACAGGTCTACTGTTATTTTGTGGGTCAAAAGCTGAAAGCTTTGGGAACCACTGGCTAGATAACCTGCAGAGAAAACTCATTTTGACCACTTGTATCTGCGATCTTGTTCTTTTGGTCACTGCAAAGTTCATGACCGTAGGTGAGGAACGTATACCGATCAGTAAACAGAGAGTTTTGCCTTACAGTTCAGCTC